CTAATGATTTGTCACTCACCATAGAAGTTTATTACATTAATCCCATTCTTATGACAGGATTCTTATAAGAATTTTCGTATAAGTTTTTTCAACATAACAAGTACATAAAGTATTTCTGCTTACTTATTTTTACTTACATTGTACAAGAAATTTTCATAGCTATAGATAATCTAGATCTGTAAGGTTTCTTCTTCGATTATACAATAACTATACAATATATTGTCAAGTATATAATTAATAGATTTCATATTGAAAATTTCTGATAATATTCTGGATATTATTGACATTCGAAAACTGGTACATTTCCGGAACGAGATAGACAGAATAGCCCGTAATTCCTTTTCATTTATTTTAGTGCATTAATTACAGTTTATTTAGCATTTTATGCCTTAAAGACGTCAGGTGCTGAACCGATTGAGACGTGGGAAATTTTATTCGGGAATCTTAAAGACCAAAAATCTTGTGCAAGAAAGGGTTTTTATTGTTTGGGCGCTCTTATTAACGTTTAATAGAGAAAAACCCATGGCAGATTATTAAATTTAGAATCGAATGTGATTACGAAATACGAATCTATGTGATTACGAAAAGCTTAAATTATTCTTAGCAGTTGAAGCTGAAACTGAATCTGTGATGATAAATAGTAGAATAAGTAATGACAGAAGACCATTATACCCATTTTTTTAATATAAAAATAAAGGTAAACCTAACATTTCCTTATAAACCGTATAAATACCAAATTTAAAAAAAAATTGAGGGGACTTAAAGTTCGAAGTAACTTTCTCTGTGTTCTGACCCATTGTTTGTAACATAAAATGTAATGGAAATATAAAAAATAGAATGTCGAATACAATAAAAGGTATTCCTTGTTTTCTGTGTCAGTTTCGAATCGACCCTATGAAGAGTATATTTATAGGTAGGTACTTTTAGACTTTTTGAACTTTGACAGATTAATTCCGATTTTTTTATTAATTCCGACGATTTTTATAAAATCTACAAAAATAGCAACTAATAAATGATTCCGTCAGTTTTTTATTGATAATTTATTATTTCGAATCGTTTTTTTCGGTGGAATTTCGACAACTGGCCGAACTCTACATAAAAATTTGCGTGACGAATTGTTTATATTGCTTCAGATATTTTTTTTTCCTTACTCCGACTATATACAAGCTTGGAAATATCACTAACGAAAAACTTGCTTTCATTTCAATTCTTGCTTTGTTTGTGATGACATAGTGAAACGATTAAAGGAAAGTTTGTAAATTTCACCAATATCTTAAATGTACATGGCAAGACTTGCTTCATCATATATGCGATTATGAATTGTTCATGAATTAAGTTCCAAATTTAAATTTAACTAATATTCTCGCACTGCCATTTTGCGATAAAGACCATGTTTTTTTCCATATTATTTAAACGCGAAGAGAAGTATGTAGCCGCACTTATCCTGTATTATTATTATTAGATTGAACTTATTAAAATGAACACTTGAATGCAATGAATCAATTACAGTTACGAATAAAAGAGAAATAAAATTTAATTTAAAAATTAATTTAATACACAACGCATGTCGCGTTTGCCTATTCCTTAGCTTTCCTATTTCTTTCTAAAGATATGCAGTATTTCCCTAGTTTTAAAGAGCACTGGTTTACTGGTGGTTCTTTTGTTCGGATCAATACGAATTCTCAGTGAAATGTTTTCCTGGGGAAGCGAAAACTGCTGGTCTGACTCATCGATTCCCCGAGCCGTCGCCCATGGCAACGGTCGCCCAATATGGCGGAACCGAAATCGGCGGGAAATTGAACCGTATTCTTCATGCAGTCTGTAGGGGTAGCCGTGATAGCTCGCCTTTAATTTAATACACTTGAGCAACCTGAGTTTGATCCCCGGTGCCGGCATGAAATTGTTAAATGCTGAATTATCACGTGCTCAGCGGTGAAGGAAAACATCGTGAGGAAACCTACACATTTTCTAAATAATAACAAAAAAAATATTTCGAAGATATGTGAAGTCCGCCAATCCGCAATGGGGCCGAGTAATGGACTATGCCCTAATACCCTCTGTGCAGAGGGGGCCTTTGCCCAGCAGTGGGATATGTACAGGCTATTACTTTGTAGGGGTAGCGCTCCTTTAAGGAGTCCTACAATTTTCGCATGAACGCGGTTCAATTAATACATAGTACAAGCTTTGCTTAGTTAGGGTCTAGATAGCGTTGTGTGAAAATATTTCCTGAAATTTTTATTTATTTATTTTCATCCCTGATGTAAAGATATATTCAGTTTAACATTTTTTTTCTTCATTATTTTTTATACGAGATCATATAAATTTTTTTTATTCATGCTACATGATCGGTCATGCGGGTTAACATGGTATTATAAAACAAGTAGGTAAATGAGGTAGCGAAAGCGATAACTTACACTTATTGTAAGCTACGACATACAATCAATTGTTTAATCGCACAAATTTTGTTATATTATTGAGACTATGAACGCACTCATTTCAGATGCCATTGTTTTATTTATACTAAAGACTTTTGTAGAGGTATCCTTGTTTTGTGTTTAGAAACACCTAGCCAACACGCACTATTTGAAGGTTATACAAATAGTTGTTGGGTGGAAATCTAAACGACGACACCGTGGAACAAATATCGATTCAGTAGTACAGAGTAGAGTACACATATATGTTCTGATTTTCTATAGAACATAGTCACTAGAATGAAAATTTATTCTACCATTAGGACTTGAAACGTCATATTTCTAGTTAGGTGTACATTTAAATTTAAAAAAAAACCATCGATTCAACTCCGTCAAGACGACTTAAAAATTTCAATATCAAACTTATGTTATTACAAAATATAACCGATTTTGCTTATATGCAATCAGTTTTTTTTTTTTTTCATCACATTACATTAGCAGTGGTTATAATTTATTATATTGGTTAAATTTAAAAACACGCCTAAATCTAATCGCACAGGACATTTAAACCGATTTGAATTGATTTCTTGACACATTGCGCCAGATTCATTTCGCGGAATCAATCTTCGTATGACTGTAAGGTAGTAGAAAGATATCCATTAGTTCACCCACAGAGTTAGTTATATAGCTATGTGGAACTCGTCTGATAATTTCTACATTGTCATTCTACAGATTTTATTTCATATATGAATGTATATATCTTTACTAATCTTAGCCCATATGTTATATTGCGATAAGGCGGCTGTTCAACACTCGTTCGAAAGCTTTTTTGTAATCGTTGAAACAAAGGAGAAACTCTTGTTCCATATCTCCCTGTGTTGACTATTGTTAAGAGAGCCTCTTTTATGCGTACTTAGCTAGAAAACCTAATTGACTATCCTAGAGATGTTCCTCAAAAGTCTCTCTAAAACTCTAGAACGAGTTCATTAAGTTTATCATTTCTAACCGACTTCAAAAGTCTCCTAACTTGACTCAGAGAACGGATTTTGATGATTCTTTTTTTATTTGGAAACCATATTCATTTCATTGGTATTGGATCTTGGGCCCCGGAGATACTCGGGGAACTCCTGAAAATCAATTATAAAATGAGTACAGAGCGAGATATTTGAAAACGACTTTGCTTTTCGTTAGTCTAAAAATGGCTATAAACTGTTTCGTCATCGTGTTTTAGCCCCTAAAAACAGTTTAATGTCTCTAGTGAAGGTAGCAGCCTTTATGCGTGCCACCGCTGAGCAAAGGTGTCCGTATGGGGGGTTTTATCAATGTTTTAATAAAAATGACGTATGTCCATACTGCGCGGCGTTTAAAAATTTTTCCGCTTTGCATCATGTCATATGATATAAGTGAATGACAAATTATATAGAACGTGCGATACCGATAGGGATAGCAGTTTATAGAGTTGCAATTTAATTACACCAATTGGTGTAATTTGAGTGCCTCAACTTCGGTGCGCCACTGTCATATCTTTGTATTGATAACTTTGTTGACTACGTAATACTTGAACGTAAACTCTAATGATGTTGTCATCGTTTCTCAGCTTACGAGACTCGTTTAATGGTGCTGTCTGTACCTATCGCGCTATGTATGTATATATATATATATGAACTCGGGTTGCCCGAGTATACTAAATTAATAGCTAGCGCCAGGAATCTGAGCCAAGATCTCTAGGCAGATTAAATGCGTCATATTTGCTATAAAGGTTACTACTACTACTTTAAAAATTCCACTTGCATTTGGTCTTGCCTTTAAATACCTTATGTTAATCTAAAGTTTACCCTTTTTTTTGGCACTGCGGTTTCTTATAAGGAAACCTGTTTCTTAATACAACGGACGTCATTCGCCTAATTGTTACCAGTTTGGCGGTTTTCCCTTTATTTACTTGAATAGTGATGCCGAATATGTTTATGAAACAATTAACTTTAGTTCTTAAAAAGCTCATTCTGTTATTTATGAAGAATACAATAGTTAAATTTTCACCAACCACAAGACATCCGGACACTTGTTAATAATTTTATTTCCATACGAAAAGTTTTAAGAGTTGGTTGAACTGATGTTAAGTGTTCACCTTTGCTCAAAGACATATACAACACCTGGGTGGTAAGAGATTTGTCCTTAAAAATTTATGAAAAAGTTTACAACCATTAATTTACTCACCAACTGAAACCCAGACGTAGAATACTTCTGACGTAGTACTTCCCTGAACGAGCCTGCCCATTTTTGCAACAGCCGAAGCTGCTGTGTCGGTCACCGGTATACAGTGTTTTAAAGGTTGGGAAACACCTGTGACTCATCTGTAACCATCAGGTGAAACGTCACCTGATGTTATTTGAGAACAATTGATAACGTGGACCGCCCATGGACATTAGCAATACCAGTACGGTTGCAGTCTGTGGAAGGCGGTAGTCTTAACAACTTTGCCAAATTAATACATAAATGAAGTTTCCGATAGAGCCTTAACCGTCCTGGTTGTTCCAGGATACGAGGATGAAGACTAAACTGACCTCCGTGACCTACCTGGGCTACACGGCCATGGACAGGCGGTTCTCGAACTCCATGCTACCCTGGCTTCTAAGGGAGATTCGAGCTACCGGGATAAGGGATAAGGTAATATTGCTATCCATATGGTTTATATGCTGTCCCTCTTTGTATTTATACAGGTGTTTAACATATAATTTCTTGCAGAGTTTCTTGCCGGTTCTTCTCTTGCAGGTCTAGTTTAGTGAACCGGTGGTAGTTTTTGACGTTCAAAAAGAGCTTAAAATAAGCCTATGTTGAATAAAGAAATTTTGACTTTTTTGACTTTTGAATTGAATATTCAGAAGGCTGAGTACACTGACTATTCTGTAGTCCCTGATTCATACATTCATGTGTTTTGGAAATTACATTTAGATAAAAATTACTTAGTGCTGAAAAATTAATAATATTTTTCGATCTTACCGACATAAAACGAAACTATGAACTATTTTTCTACGGTGGTAGGGCCACGCAGCAGCCTCGGCTGTTGCACGAATGGGCAGGCTCGTCAAGGTAAGTACCACGACCTCACAAAAGACCGGCGTAAAGTGGAAGTATAATACTTTCGCGTTTCGTCTGGTGAGTGTGGTGGCCGGAGCCCAATTTTCAAAAGGTTGTCAACACATCTGCAACCCTCGGGTGTAGCAGATGTCCATGGGCGGCGGTATTCAACCGTCTGCTCGCTTGGCAACTTTTCACATAAGAAAAAAAAATTAATTGAAGCACGAGTGCAATTAGTTTAACATTTTATTAGAAACAAGTACTTACTTGTTTACAGTTTGTCAATCAATTCAGTTTTAATTATGAAATTAGGCCTTTAAATTAATAATAATAGTAATAACACATAACACCAGGCCCCTCTATAGCCTTCTTGTATCTTGTATTAACTGATGTTTTTGCTTTCAGTCCTGAGACTATTAAAGCTTCATCTGACGCAGAACCGGTGGGCTAGCCAGAACCCACGGGTTTGGGCCCTCCGCTGTGGGTAGGGCTACGCATGTGCTCATGCACCCTCTACAGCCGTGACACCTCAGTGTCCGAGCGCTCGCCTTTAATTCAATATGCTCGAGCAACCTGAGTTCGATCCCCGGTGCCGGCACCAATGAAGTTTTTAACTTTAAGTGCTGTCTTATCACGTGCTCCGTGGTGAAGGTAAACATCGTGAGGAAACCTGCATATTTTCGAAATAATAACAAAAAAAATATTTCGAAGATATGTGAAGTCCGCCAATCCGCAGTGGGGCCGCGTGGTGGACTATGCCCCGATACCCTCTATATAGAGGAGGCCTTTGCGCAGCAGTGGGACATGTAGAGGCTGTTACTTTACTTTTTTTTTAGTATTTGCGTGAAAGAGTAACAAACATCCATCCATACATGCAAACTTTCGCCTTTAAAATATTAGTAAGGATAGAAATAAAAATGTATTAAATAAACATAAATGGCGCCTTTTACGAAAGTGAGAATTTATAGTAATTGTAAAACACTAGCGGCCTGCCCCGGCTTCGAACGGGTATTTAATAAAATATTTAAAAGTAAAAACTATCATACACACACATCAAACCTTTCGAATATTTCGTCTTTGGGGAATAATTTTATGAATTTCTTCATCTTTTAATGAAATACCCTTGAAATTACGTCACGTAAAAGTGACAAATAAGTCTGGTCTCCCATAGCTTCGGAGATAAATCATCGCATCTTTGGTATTTTTGTTGACCGATGTCTGATGATCCGATTGAGTCAGTTTGATGAGCCAATGTCTTGATTTAAAGCTTCTCTAAGATGAATGTTTCACCAGCCCTCAGTCTCTGCTGATTACCACATAATATGTAATTCAATCTTTGTGATATCTTTTTTGCCATCATATCGACAATGTATTGAATAAAAACCGGCCAAGTACGAGTCAGACTCGCACACGAAGGGTTCCGTAACGACCTAGCTATCAGGTAAGTACTACGTAACTTAAAGAAGACCGGCGTGAAGTGAAAGTGTTATTACTTCTACGTTTCGTCTGGTGAGAGAGGTAGCCGGGGCCCACTTTATTTAAAGATGGCAACTCATTTGCAACCCTACAGGTGTTACAATTGTCCAAGGGCGGCGGCTATTACTTAACATCAGGTGAACCATCAGCTGGTTTGCCACTCTATCACATTAAAAAAATCATGTTTTAATATCTTTATTCAATAAGTATTACTTTTTTTTTTTTTTTTTGGTATCGGGGGGGAAATCTTCCAAAGATACCCTGTCACATTACATGACAGGGTTATGTGAGGTTCTTACCCACTAAAACCCCCTCGGTGGCCACCCTCTGTACGTTTAGAGGGACTCCGGGATCTCCCACGGAACGCACCGGTGTCCCTCAGTACTGCGCGTGAGCACTCCCCGGAGAAGGATAGCTTCCCCGGTTCCCTCACCATCTTGCAGCAGCTCGAGACCACTTCGAGCTGCTGCCAATCCGTGTCCCCTTTTAGTCGCCTTTTACGACAGGCAGGGAATACCTTAGCCCTATTCTATAAGCCCGTGACTACAGGGCTGAAGGGGCGGCACGTCCGTTTCTGCCGCCCTGGCGCCTTCGTCTTCGAGCGGGATCAGCCCTCTCCCGTTCTCGTTCAGCGATCTCCTTCTGGAGCATAACAGCTTCGTAGAAGGAGACCAGTGCCGACCAAGTAGATTTCTCCACCAGTGCAGCTGACACTGCGACTTGTGGAGAAAGGTCTTGCCCGATCTTTTGGACCAGGATTCGACGCTCTGACTCCCACGCAGTGTGTGCTGCGCGGAGTCCCGGTCCCCACCACAATGGTGGCATTGCGTTGTCGGTTCGCGTCCGATTATATTTAAGTACTCACCAAAGCATCCGTGCCCGGTGAGTACCTGTGTCAACCGAAAGGTGACGTGCGCAAATCCCCTCGCGCTTAGCCAGGCTTCGAAGCTCGGCAAGAACGTGGTGACGATTCGCTGGCGCGAGCTTCGTGGTTCGCCCAAGCGCTCGCGACAAACCTCTAGCACCCTTATACGCTCCTGCTCACGCACTTCACCCGCATCCAGGGGCTCGGCATCATCCTGGGGTAGTCGGAGCCGAGTATAAACTCGCGCATCCATCTCCGCCAGGATGTCCAATGGTGGAAACCGAGCGAGGATAGTGGCCGCCTCAAAGGGTATCGTTCGGTACCCTCGTGTGATCCTGATAGCTATTTTTCGCTGCAGGCTATAAAGTTTAGCTCTGCAGCGTCGGACGCCCGTTAGTCGGTGCGACCATACGGGCGCCCCGTAGAGCCATCGATCGCACGATCCCCGCATAGAGGCGGCAAACTCCTTCCCTGGGGAAGTATTACACTTACATATTGTCAAAAACACTACTAATGTCAACATTATCTATAAAAACGGCAAAAAATCATGTCTGTTTTATGGGAGCCCCACTTATTTATATTTTTTTGTTTTTTGGCATTTTTCTTTATAGTGGCAAGAGAAATTCATCGTTTGTGAAAATTTCAACTGTCTAACTATCACGATTCATGAGATACAGCCTGGTGACATATAGACAGACATACGGACACACAGACGGACAGCGGAGTCTTAGTAATAGTGTGCCGTTTTATCCTTTGGGTACGAAACCCTACTAAGTCCCAGTAACAATGTAATGGATTAAAACAGGTAGCTCTAACCATCAACCTAAATGCATACAATTGCATGCTTGTCACAGTTTAGTTACGCACAGTACCTTGCTGAGGAATAGTCAAATATTAACCGTCTTCTCCTATTACGACTATTAAGGGATATTTTTATGGATCATACAATCGGTGTAACTCAGATACCCTTTTAAGTTGGTCGTGTCTACCGTGCAACACTATATCTCTGGGGCCTTTTTAGGATACCGTACCCAAGGGTAAAACGGGACCCTATTACTAAGACTCCGCTGTCCGTTTATCCCTTTGTCAACAGGCTGTATCTCATGAACCATGATAGTTACACAGTTGAAATTTGATCTGGGTATTTGTTTACGAAGGAGGGTTGACGTCAAGCAGCGGCTGGTTGTAAAAATATAGCCAAAGCCGCTTACAACATGATTCATGTTGTGCCGACCCCACCTAGATGGGATAGGGGTAGGAGGATAATGATAACTTGTATACTTGTCCCTCTATTTTAAAAGTTCGCGTCAAACGAAGTCATTTGAAAGAGGCTATTGTACTTTCGGATGTTGGTTAAAAATGTCCTGATGGTGAATGATTATTTGTAAAAAGGTTTTTTATGGGTTGTGGCGGCTCCTCAATATTGGGGAGACTACCTTTTCTAGAAGCACAGCACATACCATTTGGTTCATCGACACATTTTTGGCAGAACACTTAGAGCAGATCTTATTCGTGGCTACGATTTGGACGGAAGACTGTTGAGCAAAATGCATGAAAGCTGATCTGTTACTGTGAGCTAAAACTCGATTACGGACTCTAGTAGGTTGACGTTTATTATCTTTCTCTCTAATCTCGTGTACGTTGGGAACGCTCAGACCTCGATTTCCTAGTGTGAATTTGTATAGTTATATTATTATACTCTTCAAGCCACTGCAAACACTCTACTTGACTCTCCGACTTGTAAGACGATTTTCAGTTTCCGGTAAAGATTCCTCATTATGACGTATTTTTAATGTCCTCGCCTGAGAACTATTTCTAGAAAGATGAGATCTTGATCTTTCGGGCATTTTAAAGTGAAAAAAAAATTTTACTTCCTTAGTATTAAATAATTTGCTGACTGTTGAACAGGAATTACCAGTATAAATGTGATTGAAAAATTATACGAACTACTAAGTAAGTTACTAAGCTGTTTGGATAGTTAAATTAAAATATACTAACATTTTTAAACTTGCAATATCTAAGGAATGGAATGTCCGAATTTAATAATTCAAAAAGTTTTATAAAGGTATTGAAACAGTCTTAAAAATGAAGTAATTTATTTTTATAAGGATTAATACCAAGATACAAATAAACAGCCTTTGTTAGCGGCGGCCTTCAATCAAAATTTTTAAATAAAAGAATACTTATTGTGGCATAACTATAATAGACATATGCCGTCGCGACACTTTTTGTAAATAATGATGTGGTCTGCAAAGTCGTAGTACATTATTTTATTCTATCATCAACAGTTTTCGAAGCGCACGCGATGTAAAGAATATTCTAGGTAATTTTTGTACACCTTGAGTAACATTATTGAAGTTTTAGTAAGGATCGCTAATTTTTTTAAAATATAATATAGCCTGTGTCAAGCAGGGATAATGTAGCTTCTGAACAGTGAAAGAATTTTTCAAATCGGTTTAGTAGTTTCGGAGCCTATTCAATACATACAAACAATCAAATATTTCCTCTTTACAAATAGATTACCCTTACTTTAGGATAACATTATTCAGTGTTTTAAGGACGTTTTAAAAACCTAAATTAATGTTCAATTATATAATATGTAGGAATATTTACAATCATCTAGTTTTATATACGTTGCCATTTAGGTTTATAAATTATCCGGTAATTTTATAACTATTATCACGACACCGTTTTGAAATCATAACCTCCGTATAATGTCACGACTTTTATACTGTTACATGACGATGCTAATGTTATATGTTGATGGTTATCTAAATTAAGGTATTTCTTTTAAATTCATGTATTTTCAAGTAACTGGCGACATTTTCATGAAACTCTTTTTTCGGCATTTTGTTCACACCAAATGGTTTTGATTTAAACGACCTAATTGCTTAGGTTAACACATTTCCTTAAACACGACCACTTTACTTCACCGCACTGTTCATTGGAGTAAAAGCAAATCTTTGGAGGTCTGGCCCGTAAACTATTACAACTTTATATGAAGCATCCGCAAAATGGAAATATAATTTTGCGTCTCGTGCGCCTTAGGCCGGCAAAACATTTACAAATTTTGATGGTTCCAGGTGGCCTCACTCAGCAGACGAATCGCAATATAAAACTTCCGATTCACGCCTGTCTTTTGTGATGACGGTGGTACTCCAACCACGGAAGTATCCCCTGACGAGGCTGCCCATCCGTGCAACAGCAGGAGCTACCGCGTGGCCCTACCATGTCCCTTGCCCCTATCGGTCCAATCCTTAACTCTCTTTCGCCCAATTTTTCTTATGCCGTGTTGTAAGGAAGTTTTTACAAACATAAATTTCACGCGGACAAACACCCAGATACGAAAAAACTATCTGTGGGTCACACAAATAGTTGTCCCGTGTGGGGATCGAACCAACGACGCCCGACGCGGAAGCCAATAACCTTGGCAACTGCGCCACGGAGTCATCAAAATCTTAAATTTTTGCCCTATTTTGGCAGATTTCATCTAAATTAGCTCCATTTTGCCAGCAGTTGAGCATAGCGGTAGAGGACGGCTGCCTAAAGGCGTACAACGGCAACTTCGAACCGGTCATTGTCCACAGATTGGTGGATATACTTAGGTAAGTAAAGCGAGCGAGCTCTAGTTATAACTACGTTTAGTAATAGCCCACATATTTGTTGAATAAAACGATACAGAGCTGTTTGTGGGGAGTCCCTCCCTTTTCCTAAGTAAGTGCACCTTTTAAGTTGTAACCATTAAATATTTTCTTTTCTTTTATTTTTTAATGTGAAACGTAGCAAACGAGCCGGCGGTTCACCTGATGTTAAGTAATAACCTCCGGCCATGGACATGCAACACCCGTAGGGTTGCAAATGCGTTGCCACCTTTAAATAAAGTGGGCCCCGGCCACCTCACACACCAGACGAAACGCTGAAATATAATAACACTTCCACTTTTCGCCGGTCTTCTGTGAGGTCTTGGTACTTACCCGGACGGACCTGCCCATTCGTGCAACAGCGAACACTGTTGCGTGGACCCACCACAGTTGGCACATTCCAAGAACTATCTTTTATTTTTCCATCCTCATCTATGAACATACTTGTTCAGGGCCAGTCAAGTGCCAGGGCGTCCCGAGGAGCTGTTCTACATACTCCTCAATGAGAAGGAGGCTCTGCTGCAGTGCTACCTGTTCCGGGCGAACACAGTTCTCGAGGTAGGAGACCATACTATATACTGTTTAAACTGACTGTGATAGGCCAGCCCAAACCGGTTGGTTAAGTAACATTTATTTAAACATATAGGTCCAGCAACAACACCTTCAACAATTCATGTCATACCTTATAAACTAATATTAATTAAAATTAAATTTATCCTTAATTATACTAAACACAACAGGCGTTAATTTGCTATTAAAAATATAATTAGTTGTTACTTCGCACAATGGTACTACTGTGAACGATAAAGTGAATAATATAAAAGTAAAGTAAAGTAACAGCCTATACATGTCCCACTGCTGGGCAAAGGCCTCCTCTATACAGAGGGTATCACGGTAAATAATATATTTTATCATAAATTGCTTATGTAAAGAAATAATGGAAATTTGAAAATTGGCACGGAAATCCTTTGTATAAACTATATTTCTCTTCGAGTGAAGATTAAAGAAGTTGATTTATATGCAATGATATCCATTTATATTTAGGTGCTTCACGTTTTAATATATGGATAAGATATTCAAGCTATGACAAGCTAAACTAAGGCTTCGTTCTTTCTATTGGGGCCACTCGATTATTTTGAAAACGCCAACCCGCACTAATTAAACTTTCTAGTATCTTAACCCTTCCAGGGTAAGCAGGAATAGTAATTACTTATTAAATATTCAAATTATAATTAACTCTCCGTGATCTTGCATTCTTATTCTATTAGAACCGTAACATGATCGGAGTCACGATCACAGATTAAATAACGAGTTTAACGGCAAATAACATTACAAACTAGACGCCATTAACTGTTGGACACTGATATATTACCGATACACGTTACCGATGTTAAACTTGACACTGGCAGCCTATTATGACAACTTGAATATTCATTATTAAAACACAATGTCTAGTTTTATTGTTTATCGAAGACGGCATAGAGCCGTGCGAACGGAACCTTGGCGCGATTTTAAAATTGGAACGTCTTCGCATATCAGTCAGTTTCAGTAGTGTTTACAGTTAACACCTGCCAGTGACAAAAATATATTTAATTTTAATTTAAAGAATACATATCGCTTTGACTTAATTTGGTCTGTGTAAAGTACGCGCGTTTTCATATATTTTTTAATTAACACGTTTGGCGAGCTTAATTTTTGCTGGTTTCTACAGTGAACTATAGTGTTCGTTGGTATCGTTTGTTCTATAGTTTTTGTGACTACCCGTAAAAATAGCTTTGTTGGTCGCGGGAATTATTTTCAAAGTGCGTGCAGCTGCTTTTAAGTATCGATAATTGTCAGATAAATATCATGATATAAGCAAATATGTCTTGAGATATAAATAAATGTGATTGAATTATGTCATTAGGAAGCGAATGAACAAAGTTCATCGTCTAAGGGCACGTGTAGAGATAAAGTGAAAGTTCTAATCAAAATACCATGTACAGTATGCAAACAAAGTAACATCGTTACTATTTTCGCTCATATAATGTTTTGTTTGGGATTATAATGTTTTTTTTTTCGCACAGACAGTTGTTTGGCAGCTGGGTGTTTGACCATGTGAAATTTATATTTTTGTAAAACGTCCTTACAATACAGGATAGTGTTATCCAAAAAGAAGGGCAATGTTTTTAAAAAAAAAAAGGCGAAAACCTCATACTTTCCATTGTGAATTCCTTCATTTTTTTAAGTAATAGCATCTTTCGTCAGCAAACAAAAGTTATGTTTCTTTTGCGAGATCATATTTTGTCACATTTTGCACTCTAGAACGTAAAATGCGAGTGTTACATGACTCTACCTAATGATTCTATTAGTTTAACGTTATCTGATAAGAAAGCCAACTGCAGGTATCTTCGTATCAACTTAGCATGCAGAGAAACAGTCATAGCACAATAAATTGGCTGTTTTGATTTAATAAAGGTTAAATTTAACTTTAATAGATTTATCTACATCGCAACAGAAGAGTCCTGTGACCAATGAAGAATTCATTTCTAAAATCGATTTTCGAAAGAGAATGATGCAGCCGCGAACACGGACTTAATAATTTTTTTTTTAATTTTTTCTTTCTAATAAATAATTTAAAAGTAATAAACATTTTAGCGCATCGTTCCGTGCCAACAATAGTGACGCTACCAAAATGTTGAACTCAGTATGGACGCCGCTGTCGCAGCGAGCGGTCGTATATAGAACCGCGTCGCAGTTCTCCAACGTCGAGTTTTGGTTCGGCGCGCTTTTGATACTTTTCGCGTGCGAAATGGACCTTATTACTTCCATATACTGCACAATTTCGAGTTGAACTACATGTGACCGTAACGAACGTTGGCAAAGGCACAGATATAAACATTGGATCTTGGCATCTATGGCGGTTTGGCGCGTTTTTGTGTGTGTGCTGTGTAGTCCGTGAAAAATTTTAATTCACACTGTGAACTATCGATTTGAGGTGGTGAAATTTTATAGTCGCAATGTTTTATTGACCGTTTTAATATATTAAAAGTTTTTGTGTCTGTTTTCGTACGCGCGTAAGCTCCAGATTAATCGAATTTCAAAGAGGAAAACCACAGAGGTACGTTGCTTTTTCTTGTAATACATTTAAAGATACTCTATGTAGAGTAGTATACTATGTAAAAATAAATATTCATTAGTACTCTATGTAGAATGGTACTGAGTATTTTATCCGACATGATTTTGTAGTTTTGTAAGTAGTATTTTTGTCTTCCAATGGTGAAAAACTAATGTATAAAGAAAAATAACATCTGTAGCAAGAAGTTTTGTTTTAAATAAACTGAAAAGTATGATACTTCCGTCCGTAGACATTTTTAACATGATTTTAATTGACAGGTACCACTTTTGTATATAAATATTATTATTTTTATAAAATCTTCAAATGTATCCGTGTCAAGAGTAATGGCGCGACAGTATTCTAATTATATGAACTAGAAATCAAATCATTATCATAAATATATTCTTAATCTTAACAGACACATTGCCTCCCATTTCAACGCTACAAAAGTGATTATTTACGATACCATACACACGTGAACTTATAAATGAAAACAAGATGTAGATGAAAACAAAACGTGCGCATTTCATTTTAAAAGTAAACCGGTCAGAATCAATGTCAACATTATGTAACAAGCGAAGGTTTGAATCGAGACCATTGTTATATAACTAGTCTGACTAACACTGCCTATCACTGAGTTTTAATTCTATTTCTATGATAAACGAAAAATTATTAGTTGTGTGATAAACACAAGTTGACCCGTGCGATATTTTTACGGTGGTTGGTACTTTTACGGTGGTAGGGCCACGCAGCAGCCTCGGCTGTTGCACACGAACGGGCAGGCTCGTCCGGTTAAGTACCACGACCTCACAGGAAACCGGCGTAAAGTGGAAGTATAGTACTTTCGCGCTTCGTCTGGTGAGGTGGCCGGAGCCCAATTTTCAAGAGGTCAACGCATCTGAAACTCTCGGGTGTAGCAGATGTCCATGAGCCGCGGTATTCACTTAACATCAGGTGAACCGTCTGCTCGCTTGGCAACTTTTCACTTAAAAAAAAACCGTGCGAGTTTTCGCACCATATTGTGATAATTATCGTATATATATATACTGACTAAATTGCGTATCGACTAATATAATAGAACATCACCGTTAAGCGTAAAAAACCTTTTTTTGTTAGAAAATTATCAGATGTATAATACTCGTGAATAAACACAAATTCAAATGCAAATATCTTTATTCAACATAGGAGCATTAGACTCGCTTATTGATAGTCAAAATACTACCACAAAAAGAAAAACTAGAGAAAGAAGAAAAATGACAAAACTAAGCAAAACATGACGTTTCCGACAATACGTTTGAGAAATAACATATAATTATGATACTAAACATGTAAATATTAAAAATAATAAACAAACTAGCTGGTGGGTACCAGACGTTGTCCTGAAAATTCCGCTAAAATCTGAAAACAATTTATAAGTAAAAAAATTATAATAAAAATTGTAAATCTTAACCATTCTCTAATTCACCTAAAGAACAAAAATTTCATTTAAATCGGTCCAGCCGTTTCGGAGTTCAATGTCATACACAGGCATAGAAGAATTATATGTATATAAAGATATATAAAGTCTAAAGTAAAATAGTTAGATTTGCTTTAACTCAAAACGGCAAAAGCCTCCTTCTTTGGATACAACAAGAACTACAATAAGCTTTTGACTTATTGCGTAAAGAAAAAAATCGAAAGATCGGAAAAAATATTTTTTTAAGAATCAATGATAATTCTCGTCACTGGCATTCGGAGCTGCGCCCTTACATTGCAAGTCAGACATAACATCCGCTAAGCCATTGTTACTCTTTTTCGTTCACAGCGCAGAATGTAAATTTTATCAGCACTTACCGTAAATATCCCGTATTGCTATGATCGATACTTTTGCTGATTTTCATTGGTGGAAAACCTCTACAACTTCACCTCAGTTGTTGGGCTATGTACCTTAAGCGGATGGTCCTCTGGTTACCTTACCCCAGGCTTCTGTGACGTGGTAATACCCCGGTAGAGCTTATTCACGCATCAGAAGCTGTTAGATCCGAGAGGTCAACTTAAAAGCAACTAATGCTTGTCATCGTCTATTGCAACAGCTCGTAGCTGTACCCGATAACTTAATCGACTCGGTTGCCACAGAATCGTCTTCGCAGCTGTTGCAGACCTACAAGAATTAGGGACGTTTTGTAAAGTGGATTACGGTTTATGACATGAGAAATTAGTGCAATATATCAATGACGGTAAGATCCACGTCCTACGTTAGTATTTAGCATTGTTTGTGTGATTCAAGACCGGACGTTTCATATTTAATTTACGACCAAAAATATATTCTCACCGATCTTCTTGTTAATTTTACTGACAGTCTGCTAATAAGCTGATATTAATGATATTTGTGACTAAATAAAAGCAGACGTTGATAAATTAAATTTTTTAATGGATGTATCGCCTCTTTGTGACAGACTTCAAAATGGGGGGAGGTTCTCAATTCGACTGTATTTTTTTTTAAGTTTGTTACCTCGGATCTTTCGACAGAATGAACCGATTTCGTTGATTCTTTTTTTTTATTTGAAAGCTGGTGCTTCCCATGTGGTCCCATATTCGTTTCATTGATATTGGATATTGGGTTACGGAGATACGAAGGGAACTCCTGAAAATCAATTATAAAATGAATACAGATAAATATATATATATATATATATATATATATATATATATATATATATATATATATATATATGTAAATATCTCCCATATTTGAAGTCGATTTTTTTTTTCGTTAATAAAAAAAAACTTATTTAAGTAATGTGTAATCACGTAAATATAAATAATAATAAAGTTATCCAAAAGTGCGTGCTTTTGATAATTTGACGCATAAATTTATCAATATTTTGGACGTAAATAATTAAAAACCCTATTAAAAAAAACACGTTGGTAATTAAATTACTGAATCGAACCCGTGAATTCGGATGTCACAGGAGTGACAACGGTTGAAATTTATCGACTTCATCACCGACCTCACGTTACGTGTTACAACTTATCGAGTAAAAAATTGTTTTTAATTCGTTTGTTTTTTTTTTTCTACACTAGTGAAACTGGCAGCACGGACATTGATTAATGAATAGCCTGT